GATTGAATTGGTTTAACTCAGAACACCAGTACAGGTGTCTGAAATGAACTTGAATTAATATATCATGACTGCAGTTATCATATTACAGTATAAACGAACTGAATCCGTGTTTTTATATCGAGATACATGTTAAATATAGTACACATATTATATGGGTTAATTCCATTTTGTTCTATTTTACATATACTTTGAACTTCCCTGATGAGGAGATATGTGAGATCTTGCAGCGTCGAACACCGATATGTTTCCCTTTCTGACAACGTCAATATGTATGCTGTTCTGTACATTATGTGACAGCCCCTAATGACAACCGATAATTGCTATGTAATTAACGGGGCACATGACATCCCAGGTATTGTATTGCTAGGGTTACCAGGAAGTCCCGGGGTGTGCCTGTTATAACTACACCCAGCTATTGATAAAGTAAATCGAACTGTCCATTAGAATTCTTTTTTTTTTATAATCCCCCTCATTTTTTTCATGATATTTTCTACGTTTATTATTCCGTGATTGTATAGTTATATAATTATTCATGCTCACAACATTTTTGGCAATATTGATATCGACATTGCTACACACATTTATACTAGTCTAATATTTTGCAATATGTTCCACTAGCCATAAGCAATTAGGCAAAAACTTTATAAATTTTTCCTTAATGAATGCAATGTAAAGGGCTATTTTCGATTGTCGATCTTCATAATAGACTGAACTGATTTTTCCAGTCGTTGTAATTTCCAATGACGTCTCAAATTCCTCCGCGGTGAGATTCGGTTGTCAGTACACATCTAATTGTTTGTTCTGTTGTTAGGTTGCAGTCCAACGTCCATTTTCACAATTTCTATTTTTATTCTATATTTGACTAAAATTTGTCATTCAAAAATTTCCTATTACATAACACTGCTTGCATACTCTTACCACTTTAGTGAATTGTATTGCTATTGAAGCTGATATTTCGAACACTCAAAGAATTTACTTTTATTCTGATTGATTGGGGTATTTCTGAAAAGCATTAGATGAGATTAAATTTGGCATCAATTCAATGTTCACGATTTACTCTTTAAATGTCAAGATTTTCATGTACATAGATCAACAACATAAGAGATTGTTATTGTGAAGTGGGTGAAGATACCGAACAGTGATCGAACTCAAAATTCTTAAAAACTACAAATTTGTGAACAGGGCATAAAAACGGACGCCTTGAAATATTCCAAAGGTGGGATCATGTGCCCAGGAGGAGTAAGCATTCTTTGTCGACAGGTCACATCCGTCGTGAGCCTCGGTAACGATCAACTTGAGTAATCCCTAGTCATATGTAGTATAAAAATAATGGCCCAACAATAAATATTAAAAATATTAGAAAGATTACGACCTATTGATAGGTGCGAATAATGTCATTAAAACGACCATAAAATTTTCGGAATGCTGACTGTGAACGAGGCTGTTGAAATCCTTGTAACATCAACTTACTTGTCAGTAGCCTGCTTCGGTTTCAAAAATGATCGTAATCAGAGTATACTCTTGCCTATCGATTAACTTTGGAGAAATAACCGCCATATGCAGGTGACAGTGGAATATTAATACGTTAAGAAGGAAAGTTGAAAATGGAAAAGTTGATGTCATCTTGTTTGTCATGCAGTGTAGTTGTTAACTGGCCATTATCATGTATAGTCAATAAGATATCCAAAAGTGAAACTGTTGTGGCAGACTCTGTAGTGTCTTTTATTTTGAGTTCAATGGGATATATCTAGTCGACATATGAATGAAAGTAACTATTGTTAATTGATAAAACGGCGTCGATATATCTATATGTCGAGTTGAAGGCCACAGCAAGAGTTTTCTTCTTCTCATGTAGAAGATTTTAAATAAATCCTGCTCCATAGAAATATAAAAACAAGTCGGCTAATAAAGGAGCACTAACGAAATTCCAACAGATGGTTAGAAGACCTGGTCTCCAAAGACTACATAGATATTGTCATTGAGGAACTCCAGCATCTTTAAATATCAACTCAGAGCACTTGTGTGTAGAAATCAGAATGATTTTAAAAATTTTTTGGGTGATCAATCACAAGATATGAAAATTTCCGAGTTGGTAGTTTAAGCTCACCTTGACGAAATCTGGCCTTATGTAATTAATCGGCATCCCAGATTAATTTTTTGTGCAGATTTCTATGCCCACTATTGATCAGCGTTACATGATCTCTATGTCTATTTGTACCAGTCAGGTTTCAAATGCTGTATTTTCAGTCAATATTTTCCAGAAGAATGACCAGGTAAATGTATTTGAAGCTTGCTAAAGTTTTAGGTTTATGTCATTCCCAAGTAACTAAGCCCTATGGTGACTAATTTTACGTGGACGATGCATTAGAGATTTCTTAATGAAAGTTCTAGAAGCAGGTTCATTCTAAAGTTACTATAAGCCCTATGTTGACCACGCATGTTTTATGCATCTAGGAAAGCACACTACCAGATTTGCTTCGGATGCTTGATCTGACCAACCTTTTCAAAATTATTAAACCGGTTATTTTTTGTAGCAGGTCCACTCCAAGTAACTATAAGCCGTACCTAGACCAAACTTACTTGGATGATTCATCTAGAAATCAAAGCTACCAGACTTGCTTCGGATACTGTATCTGACCAACATTTTCCTTATCGTGAACAGATTAAATTATTTGAATCAGGTCCACTCTAATGTAACTATAATCTTATGATGACTAGACTTGTGTTAGTGATGCATCTAGAGATGCAAACACAGGCACGTAGCAACGGGGGGGGGGGGGGGGGGGGGTTACAATACTTAACAATACTTAAAGGTCAGTTTTCTTGTGTCAAGTGTGTGTATTTATGTTAAAATTGTTAATATAACACGTCTATTGCGTACATTCAGACGTATTTTAGAAGAAATGTCAGTTGAAGTGTAGACCGTCACCGGTTCGAGTTTTACACGTTTTCCAGAATCAAAACATGAAGGCTTGCGAAGAGAAGTGGATGTAAGCGAAAGCCTGTCCACTTCTCTAAAGAGAATAATGACGTCATACTTACGAGCCTTAAATTATCATTGTTTAACATATTTATGTCGATTACTTCGGATGAATACCGATATAAATGTTTGATCTGTTGTATTTTGTATTGTTTTTGATACCATGACTAGATTTGTAATTCCATAAATAAACACTATGTCATTAATAGAAACAATGTCCTTTGAAGTGTATTACCTTTTCAGTCGTTATTACATGACGTCATAAGGCGTTATTCTATAGCAATTTCCACAGTATGCTGCAAAGGACAGTTTTCTTACGAACATTCTTACCAATTCTGTGTTACCATTGATTTTGTTTTCTTACAGCCAGTGTGAATCCACTAATTATTTACTGATTATCAACACTATGTTGCCATTACTTTGGTTGTGATCTTACCACGATTATACCATTACATTTCTGGTTTTCTTACCAACAGTGTTACAATAACTTTATTTTCTTATCACCGCTGTATTACCATTACTTTGCTCGTTATCTTAGCACTACTTTTTTGTTACCAATACGTGAAAGCATCCCTTTGCCCTCTTTTACCATCATGAAATCGTTACACTTCTGACCTTTACTATTGTAATAATTTTACTTTGCTGGTTTTCTTACTACCATTGTGTCACCATTACTTTGTTGGTTTTCTTACTACCATTGTGTCACCATTACTTTGTTGGTTTTCTTACTACCATTGTGTCACCATTACTTTGTTGGTTTTCTTACTACCATTGTTTAACCTTTACTTTACTGGTTTTCTTACGACCACTTTGTCACCATTACTTTGCTGGTTTTCTCATCACCACTTTGTCACCATTACTTTGCTGGTTTACCATTACCTTGCTGGTTTTCTTACGACCAATGTGTTACCATTATTTTGCTGGTTTTCTCATCACCACTGTGTGACCATTACATTCATGGTGTTACTACCACTTTGTTACCAATACTTTGGTGCCCACCACCACTGTAATGCTATTATTGATCTAGTTTCCTCACTACTTTCATGATATTACTTTGCAATAAACCATTATTTTGCTCTCTTTCACCATCGTGAAACCATCACATTGATGACCTTTTAAATGGCATTGTAATACCATTACTTTGCTGATTTTGTACCGCGTCTTTACTAGACCACAACTGATACCACTAAGATACCAATCTCATCAGCATAGCGTAATCATTTCTTTACTGGGCCTTTCACCATATTGGATTTTTCACTTCCATGCCTTCTCACTGATGGAGTGATTTGATTTTTTTAAATTTTCTTAAATTAAAAGATTATAATTGTGTTTTTAAGTAGGGTTGTATTTTCTGTATCTGTAAGCTTTAAAATATTTTATATTTATGCTGAGTAGAGATGTTATAGTCTCGGAGAAAACTTATTAACCCTATTAGCGCCTTGTTTCGTTTTTCGATGATCAATGAGTTGAAGAGGGTCTATAAACTGCATGCCAACAGTTTTTACGTAATATGTGGATCCAATCAATACACGGTAAATATTAACTACAAAATAGAATTGGTGAACATCATAAGGGGGTTAATGTACTCTTAACAGCTGGGGGAAAACAGGTAGAAGTATTTTACCTGTAAATGACAGTTAACAGCATGAAACACAAAAGCAAATATGTAATGAATTTATTTCTTGTAAATTTTTCGATATTCATTAAACATAACCCCTATAGGTAACAAAACATATAGTCCTGTTTGATCAACAAAATGGGACGTTTTCTTCCCCAGCATTACAGGTACATCGATACCTTTACTCAGTGGCTGCTAAATTGAACATGTTCTTGTGTCTCTGTTTACGTTTTTTTAAACATTGATAAAATTCAATTTACAGGTTTTTATTGTCTTGAATTGGTTTGTTGTTTGCTTTTTTTTTCTTGTTTTGTTTTGGATGTCTCTGTTGAAATACGTTTACACTTTGTATGTTACATTGATAAAATCCTTTTACAGATGTAAAGTGAAATACCTGTCTCCTGTTTGAGAATTCTTACAGCATCCTGCATGGACCGGAAGTAAGGAACTCCTGTCTGAGAATTCTTATAGCAGCCTGCATGGACCGGAAGGAAGGAACGACATGGAATTGTACACACCGAGCTTATGGCAAAAAAGGTAAATCAGAATCAACATCCACAATGGTAATGTTTTTATTCTAACACCATAAGAAAAAAAAGATGTGTTTATGAAACACTGATGCCCCCGTATTGGAGCTTAGGTTAAAGCTTTTCAAAAGTTTAGTTTTTCAAAAGCAGGTCAAACTCACACGTAGAAGGTCTTGAGGTAAAAAAAAATGTAAATTATCAAAGAAAAATCGTCACAGTGAATACACTTGTGGCATATGAAAGTTTCCAAGTTGAAGATCATGAGGTAAAAAAAATAGTACCAACGGAGTATGCACTTTTAAAAAAAACAATTTGTTCAAATTATTTTATTTCTTATTGAAATATCGTCTTTTCAAATTTGAGCAGAATGTAACTTAATTGGTAAAAAGATAATATTCCAAACTGAGAGGTTTTTACTGAAAATATTTTTTTTCCATTTTCAATCGTCTTATCTGCATTGTTGCAATGCTATATAATTTGCACAACTGTATGCAAATGCAGGTAATAATATGTTTACAATTCCTTAATGCAGGGATTTCATGTCTATGTAGTGTGAATGCTGTCTTCAAATTTTGAAATATGTCTCTCAATGCACTCAATGGCCGACTATTACGATAGACATTGTCCAGCTTCACAGACTGTCAGTGCAGGTATTGGCCAACTCCAGTCTGTCAATGCCTGCATTGGCCTTAGAGAGAGTTGTGCAATGCCTGCATTGGCCTTAGAGAGAGTTGTGCAATGCCTGCAATGGCCTTAGAGAGAGTTGTGCAGTGCCTGCATTGGCCTTAGAGAGAGTTGTGCAGTGCCTGCATTGGCCTTAGAGAGAGTTGTTCAATGCCTGCATTGGCCTTAGAGAGAGTTGTGCAGTGCCTGCATTGGCCCTTGAGAGATTCTTGCAGTGCCTGCATTGGCCCTTGAGAGATTCTTGCAGTCCCTGCGTTGGCCCTTGAGAGAGTCTTGCAATATCTGTATTTGCCCTTGAGAGTCTTGCAATACCTGTATTGACCCTTGAGAGATCTTGCAATGCTTCAATTGGTCAACAAAGAACAAATTCCCTTAACAGATAGTCATGAAATTCTTGCATTGGCTGTACTATGAAAAGATTTTCAAACATATTTAGACATTGATGATTCTTAGCGGTAATTACCAAATTATTTTAATTTTTGTAATAGTAGCCACTGCATTGTAAGTTTATTCATTTTCCTAGTGCCCAAATAGATTTTGTTTTTCTTTATTGCCAACTAGTATTAGTCAATTACATTTAGACCAATTTCAATTGCAAATGTGATTCAGATTAAAAACAAATCAGAATAAAAAAAAAATTGCAAGAAATGGAATGGACACTTTGTCAATGTTTCCGTACATACTTTTATTGTGATTTTGGAATTAAGTAAATTAGACTATAACATTTGTTTCGGGCTACTTTTTTTTATCATAATTAACTTTCTTGGTAAATTTATTAAATTTCATTTTTTTTAGTAGTAGAAGCCAAGACTTCTTTCCATAATACTAAAAAAAACATTGATCTTCAATTAAAAAAAAAATAATTCAGAAAAAAAAATTAGAGTTCATTTACCCAAAGAAAAGTAAATACACATTTGTCATATGAAAGCCCAGAACCAACCGTTCAAAAGTTATGTTTAAAAATAAAGTTTTTGCGGACAAACAGACAGACCAAAAAGTATATTCCCCCGAATCTCCGATTCGGGAGCATAAAAAGATTCAGCATAAGTGCAATAACCCGTTTAATAAAATTTGATGTCTAAAAATAAGAAAAATTAGATCGCAAAAGAGATGAATTTCCAATTCGGATTCTAGGATATTTTTTGATACTTTAAATACTTTTTGCTTGTTTACAGTAGAAAAAGGTGAAAATGAGGTAAATTTCGTGACATCACTGGTTTTAACTTCCCATTATAGACAAAGTAAGACAAAGTAAGAAACGGGAAGAAAATATCAAGGAAGATACATTTACCTTAAGGATGCACATTTCTCACTTTTTTAAGAAATATTTTTTTATTACCCTGATGTGGAAAAAATATATCAACATTTGCTATGAAAAAATGATGGCCATAAGTAATGATGAAAGCAATTATGTTTGAAAATGAACAGAAAATCCTGGGTTACATACAGTACGTAACAAAGTAAGTGGATTTAGGAATTTGGTAGAATTTCTTATTACGATTCAAGTGCAAGGCCACCTTTAAAATAATGTTTGCTTGCCCTCTCCCGACCCAGGATGAAAAAAGTTTTGAGTCGGGACATTTTTAGCCAGTCGGCCGGGAGAAGGTGACCAAACAATTTTTTAAAGATGGCTAACTTTTTTTTATTAATCAATTGACGAAAGTTAAACGGCTTTGTTACAATTCACATAACTCCACCTGTTTATATGAATTTCAGTTGATTAGAGAGCTTTCTTCAGTTTTAAGGACCTTCATTGACTAGACTGTAAATGTCTGCCCCCTATATACAAGTTATCTTTCTATAGATGATGGTATGTTGACGCACAAGATAATTATGTAAACATGCAACATAAAATTGTCAACATGCAATATAAATATGTCAACATGAAGCAAAACTATGTTACATTTAAGAACAATGTGTGATAAGAACTTGTTAAATTTTCAAATATTGTCCACGTGTAACTCCCTGCTTGATGCAACTTATTTTGTATTGGCAACTTATTCATGTGGTCAGCATAAATAATAACTTGCATGTCAAAATATTTATTTTGCATGTCAACAAAAATGTTACATGTCAACATCAATAAGCTACATGCTGACATAAATAATTTGCATATAGCATGTTGGAAGTCACATGATGTTTGATAATTTCTGAAAATTTACCAGATTCTTATCTGATCACTCTTGCATGTTGACTTAGTTATGTTGCATTAATTTTGAAATAATTATCTTGCATGTCGACAAAATCTATAGAAAAATAACTTAGCTTTCATATATATAGGTGACAGAAAGAGAAACATGCCGCAATACAAATGTATTTTATAGAGATTTTTCCTATTTATGGTTCTGTGGCTGAGTAGTAGATGTAATCAAAAGCACTGTCTGTGATAAATCACTAACACTGATCTTGGGGAAGAACAAGAAAATTCTCTGTACGATATTGGTGCGTTAAAACTGTGTCCTTCCTGTGCTGTATCGATGACTGAGACGTTGTTATTAACATATTCAGCTAGTAAACTATAGTACAACATCACATAAGATACTTTGTTGGGTTTGATTCTGAATTATTCAAATTTTGAGGTTTTCATATTGTACTACAGGCACTGGGGGCCTACTGGGGACAGAATTGTCTATCCCTGATTATTAACGAGTAAATGATCCCTTTGATGTAATAGAACCTGAATTAAGAGTAGGATTTCATGGGATGAATTATATACCTACCTATTGATTAACCCTACATCATTTAATCGGATTAAAAATATGCATTAACATCTGGTAATGTGGACTATATTTATTCTTTGTTTCCATAATTAATAAACGGAAACACTGATGCTACCTAACAAGTAAATACTCATTAATACGTAAATTGATCCTGTTTGTAAATAGATAGACGTATTTACAAATTACAATTCATAAATGTTCATGTATTTGTTAAGGTGCGTTAACAAACCTTTATAACAAGCATTGCAAACTTTTTAACATACATACATGTATCATCAAAATGTCAGAGGTTTAAAATAAATGTTTTCTGTGCTTACAAAGGTTTATAAAATGCAACTCTTTCATTAAAATGTCCATAATATTGCTAAGTTTATTTTGATATTTCAGGCAGTCGAAGGCTTCTGTGATAAAGAGCGTGCTGTCTATCTACTTCCGGAGTCCAAAGCGAGCTCTATTGTTGACTCTTCTCTTTTTCTCCGTCTTACTACTACTCACTCAGGTATGGGGAATCCTGTTTGGACCTCAGAAGTTCGTCTACAAGTGTTTCGAGGATTATGGATATCCTCTAAATAAGACCGTTGTTAATCCGCATCCATATAGGTACATAACTAACGTGTCATCAACATGCACAGATATCCCGGAAGTTTACGTCATAACCCTCGTCAAATCAGCAGCAGGAAATTTTAAACAGAGACATTATATACGAAGTTCTTGGGGGATAGACGCCAAAAAGAAAAATCTTAGACTTGTTTTTCTTTTAGGATACAATAAGGAGAACCAGTTTATGGTAGAATATGAACAAAACATGCTTGGCGACATTGTTCAACAGGATTTCCAAGAAAATTATTATAATAACACAATAAAAGTCACCATGGCGCTTAACTGGGTTACTACCTTCTGTAAAAATGCAAAATACATTCAGATAGTTGATGATGATATGTTTCTTAACTTTCAAAATGCCCTAGGATTTCTTGAGGAAAAGAAAGAGAGTGCTCGATTTCATCTCTATGCAGGCTATCACATCCGGGAACCTACACCAGACAGAAACATTAAATCTAAGTGGTACATACCTCCCACCCGTTACTCGTTTGACTGTTTCCCACCATATATAGCTGGAGGATATGTCCTCATGAACATTCGAACTGTCTTTGCATTCCAGAAAATCATTCCATATATTCCAAGTTTGCCGTTTGATGATGTATATTTTGGCATTGTTTCTCAGAAACTGTCAATAATTCCGTCCCATATAAATACCTTGGATGTGAGCAGGATCCAAACATCACGGGAGAAAATCAAGTGCCTTATAGCTCTACATGACTATAAATCTCTTAAGGATTTTATGTATGCATACAATGTAACGCATAATAGATTTTTAGAAGGAAGATGACAAAAGGTTTTATTAGACATTGGATTAATTACAATGGAAGTATTGGGGGGGGGGGGGGGGGAGTGTGTTCGCTTACGTATAATTATGGACAAATAATTTGAACTTTATCTATTTATTTTTTGGTTTGAGGGGGGGGGGGGAGAAGGAAGGAGGAACTATACCCTAAGACCCATTGGAACTTTTTTGATTAAATTTTGCCTGGTATGTACATAGAAATCCTTATATTGAATGCTTTGATCTATTTGGCAAAATTTTCTGTACTCATTTAGGGAAGTTAATTTGAATGTTTTTGAAATATAGACACGTCTTTTTCATGTAATGGCTTTTGTAATGTCTTGATAAATGCATCTTTGTTATCTAAAAGTTCGGTTTTTGAGGCCAAGAGCTTAAATCAGAATCAGAGGTAAAAACTAGAGCGCAATGTTAGAAGAGAAGTATAAACATTATTTTATTGTGTATATATAGGTCTTTTTTTTCTTTTCTTTTTAATTTTTGAAAAAACAAATTGGAGGCAGGATAGATGTTTTGGTAGATGCTGACAGTTTATGAATAAAATACTTAAAAGATAAAGGCAGCACCGGTGAGCAAAGTGAACTAGGGGTCCCGGTTATTTAGATTTTTTAAAATTAGATTTTTGATCAGCATTGTTTGATCTCAGCAATTTATTTCAAATTTTGACGGACTTGAAATTAAAAAGAAAATATACTTTATATATTTTATTTTTATACCTAAACATTTTACTCACTTGAGATTGTTTACGTTCCTTGATGACAATATGACAGGAAACAAACAACGACATCTTACCGAGACTGAACCAGGTCACGTTAAACTTGTGTATTTTGTATTATTATTTTTTTAACAAATTTTACATAATCTTTGATTTTTATTTTATATGCGTCCATAGTCACACAATTTAAGGCGCATGTTCGATTTTTAAATTTTTTTTCATCACAAACACTAAGCTTCGTGTACCTCTATTCGAATATTATGATTGGTCTTTATTTCAGGAAGATTACATTCTTCTAGATTAATGGGAAATACACAATATATTGATTACTTCCAGTTACTTATGAATCATATGACAATTCTTTTAATTATGTATAATAATTGTTATTAATGTGATGAACCAATGTAATTCCTCTCAACAATCAATGTGCAATAAATTTTTACAACTTGCTTAGTAGTTAAAACTTGATATTTCAAAAAGGGGTTCAGTTAAAAAGCGGTGATAGATTTAGAGATTTTTGTATGTATACATAAATATATGGTAATTTGTCGGTTTATTCCAATTTCATTCTTTACGACAGAAACTAAAAACATTTATCTTTTAATGCCTTTAGTTTTTGCTCGGATAAAATTATTTAAAATTGTCACTCTTATTATACTTATTTTAACAATTACCTTTTTCCACTTTGTCCATTGTAATTCTTTTATTCCTTTTGTTAATTACATGCATTTTGTATAAGAGGATTGCCGTTTACACGTGTAATCGTTTCACCCTTAAGGAAGCTCTGATTACTGCTCACTGAAGAGTTCTACTTCCATGGTAGTTTTATGCAGTAAGATTGATCTGCCTTTTGATGTAAGACTGAATAAATGAGAATCTACAGGAAATGACGTCATTTGAAATAGATTGAAGTATTCTTAACATTATATTAGACCAACTAGATAAAGTTAGTGAATGCATTATTTGCATGTATTTTTCCAGTGTAAGTAAACAGTGATTTCTATACACTATACTTCATTGTCTTTAAACATCTTTCCAGGAGAAATATGACAGGTACCTTATGTTGAAAATGAACTACATAAAATCAACATCATGCAGTTTTCTTAAAGTTCAAAAAATATATTTGTTATACCTTTAAAAATTGTTTCCTATATAATTATATACTGAAAAAAAGTCTAACATTTCCAATGTTTTACTGAGCGGTCATAAAAAAGCGATGTTTGACCGCAGAGCGAGATATTGGACCTGTCGATGAGATGTTGGACCGCTTACGTCACAGTATGATGGGCGGGGTCAGCTGTATCTTATTTGCATTCGTTGGAGTTCGACAGATTAGCTTTACGGAATTGACAAAGTTTTAACCGCAGTGCGGATAAGCAAAATTTACATCATGTTATGTCAAAATAGAAAGTAAAAGGTATAACAATACATTTATTGACTGTGTTCTCGGGCAAAATGCGTTTTGTCGGACCCTCGAACCAAAATGCGTTTTGTCGGATCCTCGAACCAAACTGTTTGCCTTCGGCCTAACGGCCTCAGGCAAACAGTTTGATTCTTTGGTCCGACAAAATGCATGTTGCCCTCGAACTCAGTCAATAAATGTTTAATATTATCCTTAGAGTATTTAGGGCGTCCTTAAGAGGATATTGCTTCATTGGAAATTTGGCTTTTTTTTTTATCCCAGAACAAATCAAAGGGTTGATGAAGTCGATGTCTTTGTTTCTTCACTCAGTCCTTTTAATGAGCGTTTTGAGCGAGGAATCTTTTAAAGTTCGTGAATAAGATGGTCGACGTTGGAAGTATAAGGAAAAGTCAACTCAATGCTCCAGACTTCAAGCAACACTAGTGACCTTAACTCAGTGTTAAAAAACAAACAGAAAGAAGGGGAAAAACAGAAAAAAAGTTATGACAAAGAGTTCGTCATGCAGCATCAGAAATGAAGATGTTCATATCTGTGTACAAATTTCAGTATTCTTGAGAAATGTTTCAGTTCCTTTTTAGAATACACTGCGTGTCAGAGTTCTTTGAAGATAAATTGTTCGTCATCATTGTTATCACATTTTTTTCTATAGTGGGTAAAAGTACAAGCATACACTTTATTATATGAATTTCTACAATGGTGTAATCTTTGACTGGCACCTGCTACCCGGAAGAGCCAAGGAACGCAGTATAGTTCGGTAGCTGTGAACATTGTATTATTTAAAATCAACAGAAGAAATAAGAAATTTCATAATATTTGGTAAGACGATATGCGTTTAAATGTACTTTAATTCAGCCAATTAATCACTTACTGGTGTATTGGGGTAAGAGGATTTTCGTGACATTTTTAAATTATGCAATGCTGTAATTTTAATTTGTCTTTAATAAAGAACATTTACAGTTGTGTTTACTTTAGATTGGTCACTATCAAAAGAAGAAAACAAATAGACGACACGAGATATGTAACGGATAAATCAGTCCGGGATTACGGTTAAGGAAAACTTCAGGTTTCCACCGGGCCTGTTCTGACAAGTAATATTCAAATACACTGGTAAAAAAAATAAGTACAAGATTTAATCCGATTATCTGAAGCTTTTGGAATAACTTTAACATAAGCAGTATGCTCAGGACACTCTCAAAAGGAGTTAATATTTGAGATTTCCCCTCCTAGTTTGGATGCTGTTCGTAATGCTTGTACATTTTCAGAACAAAATGTTGGGGATGCTGGGTCTTCCTTTGGATGGATTTTCTTCTTTTTGGTAATTTTTATGAAATGCTTAGAAGTTTAAATCCGATTAATTGATGGTTAATGGAAACTTCAGATATTTACAGTAACCTCCCGAAGACTAGTCTTTACTTACACCGGAGATTCTGTAGACCATGTTTTGAGCTTAGAGAATTTGTGCACACATATACGTACTTCCACAACTAACAACTTCAGACGATCTTTTTATTAATATAGATTTTAGTTAATGTTTCTGTATTTACTTTTGTGTTAATGTTTATATACTGACAGATTAGATTAATTTTTAACGATAATCGACTTGCTATAAAGACTGCGTTTAAATCTGCACTCAATGCTACTCACAGTGTGATTTTCTGACAGAATAACTATCCACTATTTACCATTTATAAATTATTTTACCATAATAAGTGGGAAAATTCAGATCTTTTGGGTTGCTCATCAAGAAAAAGTTTTACGCGATATGTGAAATAAAATTTATTTACATAATCACAAACTTGTAAATGACACTGGTCAACATGAAAAGCTTTTAACTGACTTCTTTAAATGGCTGCAAACAATGAGGTATTAAACCTGTGTTTGACCCTGAACGGCTTGGAAAAACAGTTTCTGTATAGATCAGACTGGCTTTTCATTCCTTGCATTTAATTCCTTACTAACGACGAGACATGAGATTTGTTCTTGCTAAATCATTGATGGCATGTCCTTAATGTGACATTTTCTTCTTCGTGCTTCAGTGTCATAACAGCCTGTTCTTAATGGCTGATATGTAGAACATTTCATTGACTTGCATCTGTGTTTGTGTTCACATGGTTGTAGTTATCGTTGTTCGGTTGGAATACCTGTAAGTGTATTATGATTCCTTCATCTTCAGACACACCAGCCTGCATGGACTGGAAGGAAGGATCGACATGGAATTGTACACACAAAACTTATGGGACAAAAGGTAAATCATCATCCATTTTTGACTAATTTTTGCATTTCTTTCGTTAGGTCTTCATCACAATTGCACCAAACTTTACTCTGTCCTTTTCAAAGTTTTAAATGGTCTATTTGAAAAGGTCAAGGAAAGTCTATATTGGATTATTCGACACCATAATACAGGCTTGGATCTGTGATTTATATGGATATTGCAAATCATAGGCCGCCACGATTTACGAAAAAGTATACTGCTCAAGCAACCCGTTTGGTCCTTAAACTTCAATATGCCAACAATTAAAGAATTTACGCAATAAACATTGATAATATTCTAAATCACAAAAGGGTCCAGTTTTGTATTCCACCATATTTTAAGTTGAAGTCCACACCTTGTATTTCTTGCAATTTTATACATCGACTTTTGCTTCCAAACTATTTAAATGCAAAAAAAAAACCTCCACAATGCCTAGATATCGAACATCTGATACATAGTTCATGTTTTTCTTCACCCTACGACTATATAGCCCTGCTGGAATCGTCATTATACCGGTGATGTACATGTAAATATAGTTAATAGTAAGGACCTTAAATTGGTTATTTTTGAAAGAGCCAAAATCTAAGGAACCCCGATCTTTCAACTGGCGTCATAATTTTATAAGTATAATGAATCCTGTGGAAGATTATGCCAGGCGATGGACCAAACATGAAAAAGGCCTTGACACTTTGTCAGAATGGATAACATATACAATGACCTTGTCAGCAAATACGATCATCATTGAGTCAAATGCTGACTGACGTTTTTCATACTATAGCTAATTGTTAGGCCATTATTTACGGAATAGACAATTTTATAGACAATTTTCCAACCCTAATCATAAACCGAAGTGGTCGCAAAGAAAATGAGTTGTGGTTGTATTGTTGCTTTAATAGGCCCGTGAGAAGCACATTTAGTTGGGTGAGGGGAAGGGACAACTTATTGTATTAATAATGGGGTTGGTGGGAAGTGCAGGCTCCTACGGGTGTTGGGTGAGGGGAGGGGACAACTTATTGTATTATATTGCCACTAATAATAATGGGGTTGGTGGGAAGTGCAGGCTCCTACGGGTGTTGGGTGAGGGGAGGGGACAACTTATTGTATTATATTGCCGCTAATAATAATGGGGTTGCTGAGAAGTGCAGGCTCCTTCAGGCCTTTATATTCTCGGAGATGAAATACCTTAAAATCATCTTTCTTTTTCAGAAATTTACATGATACTCCCTGTCAAGGACTTTGCAATGCTCTTTTGGATTTCTTGATCATTTTCGAAAATGTACATTTGAAATAATACAAATGTATTAAGTATCCAAGCACTTTATCGGATCTTGAAGCTATGTCTCTGTTTCTGGTAGGCTGTATACACTAGCATACAAAATTAGTTATATAAACCATGTGTCAGAATATAGAAATTTGTTTGTTCTTAGATCAAGTCAAAATGTCCATGTTCGGTGAGCTTTTTTCATATAAGTTATAACAACACATAGTAAACACCAAATAACTCACATATTTCAGTGTCTCTTTTTCGATTTTGCAGCATATCACACTTCATGATGTTCTAAATAATTGCCATATTCCACGCTCCAATTAACATCGTTTTGCAGCCAAATAAATGGTGAAATTTCCAACAAGGCTAGTAAACAAACACATTTGATTCACTTGTATCTTTATTAATTTATTTTTCATATTTTAAATATCAAGCATATACAGTGGTCCTACGTAAGAAAAAAAAAATCGCATTTACGATGTTTACAGGTAGATGTTTTTCACATATTCATATATTTGTTCAGATTGATTCACTAAATTTGTCAAGCTTCAAAAACTTCTTCAAACACAAATGTCAGGAATCTTATGTGAAAATTTACTGCGCTTTAAAGTGTTGAGCATAATATGCAATCGGCTAAATCAAGAGCTCATGATCATAAAATTGTCAACACTCAAGATATCTTTCTTTCTGTTCATTTCAGACAGTCAAAGACATCTGTGATAAAAAGCGTGTTACCTGCTTACCTCCGGAGTCCAAAGCGGGCTTTGTTGTTGGCCTTCACCTTCTTCCCAGCTTTGTTACTACTTATTCAGATATGTGTGATTCTGTTTGGGTCCAATAAGTTCATCTACAAGTGTAACAAGGATTATGGATATCCTCTACATAAGACCGTTGTAAATCCGCATCCATATAGGTACATAACTAACGTGTCATCAACATGTACAAATATCCCGGAAGTTTACGTCATAACCCTCGTCAAATCAGCAGCGGGAAATTTTAAACAGAGACATTATATACGAAGATCTTGGGGGATAGATGCCAAAAAGAAAAATCTCAGACTGGTTTTCCTTCTAGGATATGATAAAGAGAACCAGTTTAAGGTGGAATATGAACAAAATATGCACGGCGACATTGTTCAACAGGATTTCCAAGAAAGTTATTATAACAACACAATTAAAGTCACCATGGCGCTTAACTGGGTTACTACCTTCTGTAAAAATGCAAAATACATTCAGATAGTTGATGATGATATGTTTCTTAACATTCAAAACGCTCTCAATTTTCTTCAGAATAAAAGTGTTCGATATTATTTCTATGCAGGTTACCGGATCCGTAACCCAATATTAGAACGTGACAATCAATCTAAGTGGTACATACCTCACACATATTACTCGTTTGACTGTTTCCCATCATATATAGCGGGAGGATATGTCCTCATGAACATTCGAACTGTCATTGCATTCCAGAAAATCATTCCAAATATTCCAAGTTTGCCATTTGATGATGTGTATTTTGGCATTATATCGCTGAAACTATCAATAACGCCGACCCATATAAAGACTTTGGATGTGAGTAGGACCCCAACATCACGGGGTAAAATTAAGCATTTTATAGCTTTACATGACTATAAATCTCTGGAGGATTTTTTGTATGCTTACAGCGTAACACACAATAGATTTTAAAAGGAAGATTAGAAAAATATTATCAGAAATATAGAGTAAATTATTTTGGAAATATGGGAGACAGAGAAATTTGGTGCTCATTTACATATGATGAAAAATTTTCTTTTTTCAGGGGAGGGGAATACCCTCGTAAGCTTATTATTTTTTTTATTCAATTTTGTACAATCTGCTTGAAATAAAAAAAAACAGTTACTCAGATGCTTTGTTACCTGGTATTTCATTTTTTAAAGACCTTCATGATCACTTTATTTACTTTAGATTGTTTTCGATCTTTGATTGTAGTTTGAATGAAAAGGGTAAAGATAACAAATAGTCATCAATCTCACAAGCCCTATACACGATAAAATGGATGAACAAGGCAAAATCGCGGAACCCTGTCAACCGCCTGCGGGGCTACCACTGACTGGCACGGTAAATGGGGTAATCCGTTGTCAAAATTAATACCGGTAGTATGAAAACAATGACCTAACAATTGGTATGAAACATCTAAGTCAGATTCAGACCCAACCATACATTGTGTTTGCAAAGGTCATTATAACGATTTACAAATTGCGAATTGTTGACTTTGAACGAGACTGTTGAGAGCCCTGTAACATCAACTTATTTGTCAGCAGCATTTATAGGTTTATCAAAAATAAATCGTACTCAGAACTTGCTGTTTGGAGACAAAAATCATATGCAGATGACAATGGAATACTTCTTAAATAGAGGAGAGGAGCTAAGTCATTCTATTTGTAATATAGTCTAGTTGTAAATTTGTCATTAACGTCTTCAGTAAAACATCCAAATATGAAATAATTTGAAAGAATTTTTGTTATTTTTGTTTAGATTTCACTCGGGTATATTGTATCGAAATATGATTGAAAATGATTTTTGACTGACAAGAGTAGTCGGTATATCTTTATGTCAATTTGAAGGCAACTTGAAAAGTTTTTGTCATCGCATGTAGAAGTTTTTGAATTAATACATTCTTATGGTATACAAAAAATGTCGGCTGGCACAATAACTCCACTGTTTTACTCCTATTAATCCTAAAATGAAGGTGATAATTAAGTCTCTTTTTTAAAAAATCAAACTGCTATGACCTACCCTTGCCAGACCTTGAAAGATCCATGACCATCTTACCGCATGCGTCATCTCCCTTCATTTAAGAAATTTAGAAAAGTGTGTCGCCTGATAACTAATCTTTCATTTAAATCAACGAAATAAATGATAAAGTGTCGTCAACCAGGTAATGTAGAAAAGAAACCTGTACTTGATACTTTGAAATATGCTGTGAAATGTACGTCACATGGAGCATTTAAAACGTGATTGGTCGGTAATTGCAATGTCTTTACAAGTTTTGACAATACTGGTCTAATATCTAATGAAACTCTTTCAGACATTTGAACCCGATGGCTCATTTTTATTTTCCGAGCATGAGTCGGTTCATAAGAGCATTTTCTAAGTATGATCACTATTTTAACCTAGACAGGTTACTGACAAATAAGTGGATATTACAGGACTTTCAGCACTCAGAATTTTGCGAATTCTATGATCTTGATTGTAATTACTAGTAGAAGCTTTTCTTAGGTTGTATTTTTACAGACATCTTTGGGATGTGGAGACCTGTCCTTCGGAGGAAACCGCATAAACCGAGGTCCCGTGTAGCAGCAGGTGCTGGCACGAAAAAGATCCCTCACTGCTCAATGGCCGTAAGTGCCGAATATAGGACAAAATTTGCAGCTCTCCACCGGCAAGTAGTGGCGTCTCCATATGAGTGAAAAATTCTCGAGAGGGACGTTAAACAACATACAAACAAGCAAAACCAATTAATTGGCTATTCATTTCAAACTAATTTTACTATGGATTAATCCTGATGAATACAGAGCTCACGGTGGATGCTATTCCTCCTTAACATTTGATCCAATAGAGGTCCGCGTTTTTGCCGTTCTCGATTCGCATTTTTTACAAGATCTTTGAGATTAATCTCTTGTTCTTTTTTTTCAAATATGCTTAAATGTACAAGCAATTTTAACCAAATTTAGTCAATTTTGGATAAATACTATTGTTAGGCCATTATTTACACACTGAATTGTCGACGGTGTTTCCGTTATTTCCCGATCATGACAAGGGGCACACGGCGAGTGTGACCGGTCGACAGGGGATGCTCACTCGTCCATGGCGACCTAATCCCACCTCGATGTTTTAGAGGTCCGTGTTTGCTCTGCTCCAAAATTTGTATTGTTTAATGGACTTTTGAGCTTGAATACTGTTCGTTATCTTCATATGTTTCATCTTTAAGGTTCTATATGGATTACATCTGTAAGAACCACTATGGAAATACATTTCATTATCAGAATTTAATTATACTAGATATTGCAAATCCTGGATCAAAATATCCGTCTTCAGCATTATCATTCGTGAAACTTGTTCATTGTATAATGTATGCTGAACCCGTGTTATTTTGATCATTCATTGATCTCTGTTGTACTTAAGCTAAATAGTACATTGGGTAATACCTGTGTCACTTCAAACACTCAATGATTGAATAATTGTTTGTTGTTTTACGTCCCTTGTCAGTTTATTTTACTCATGTGAGACGTCACCGTATGCCGGTGAAGGGCTTCAAATTTAGACCTTTACTCTGCACTCAGAGTTAATGAACAGTGACCGATCTTTATCGTACCTGCCGTGATACAGGGGGCTTCAGTATTCCTACATATGCTGTACACATGTCACATCGAAACACTGTAACAGTGACGTATTTTATATATGTGTCACTTTGAACATTTTTACTATGATGTTTGCTGTACTGTGGTCATTTTGAACATTCAGATGGTGATGTACGTTGAACTCGTGTCAAATTAACATTCAAACAGTTTATTTGCTGTACTCGTGTCACATCAAACATTCAAACCGAAACATATGCTGCATTCGTGTCTCATGCATCATTTTAACGGTGACGCATATTGTACTCGTGTACCATGGAACCTTCTGATCGTGACCCATTTTGTAGTCATGTCCCATGGAACCTTCTGATCGTGACCCAATTGTACTCGTGTCCCATGGAACCTTCTGAGTGACCCATTTTGTAGTCATGTCCCAAGGAACCTTCTGATCGTGACCCATTTTGTACTTGTGTCCCATGGAACCTTCTGATCATGACCCATTTTGTAGTCGTGTCCAATGGAACCCTCTGATCGTGACCCATTTTGTAGTCGTGTCCCATGGAACCTTCTGATCGTGACCCATTTTGTACTCGTGTCCCATGGAACCTTCTGATCATGACCCATTTTGTACTCGTGTCCCATGGAACCTTCTGATTGTGACCCATTTTGTACTCATGTCCCATGGAACCTTCTTATCGTGACGTATGTTGTACTCGTGTCACGGATTTTTCAAACAGGGACGTTGCTTTACTCATTGAAACAGTGACAGATGCTATACTTGTGTCACTTTAAATATTAAAACAGTGACGTACACTTGTGTCATATGGAACATTCAAACAATGATATACGCTGTACTCGTGTCGTATGTAACTTTCAGTGAAGTATGTTGTACTCGTGTCGTATTGAACATTCAAGCAGTGAAGTATGTTGGACCCATGTCACACTGTAGGTTCCGCTGTAAAAATTAGAAAGGCGGTGAAGTTCACGGGCTTAAAGGGGCTTGGACACAGTTGCATTGTTTACAATTTTAAATGTCTATTTTATTCAAAAAATAATTTCAGTTTAATGACTTGAACTTACATGAATATTCTAAGAATTCAATGACAACTACATTCTTCATAACATCACGTCCAACACCCGTATTTTTAAACAGGGCACGAGCTCTGTTAATGTTATTGTGTAAGTTTAACTGGGTGTGTTCAATTTGTTTAGTCTGCAAACATCACTGAACACAGACTGACAATACTGGTGGGTTGGATTTGCTTTGTTGCATTTCTACTCTAAACTTTCTGGATAATAGTTTTCATATTTTACACAACATTGTTACTACTTTTCTTAAGTATTATGGATAAAGTTTACTTTGTGAATAACACGCTTTTAATAATTTTTGGTGTGAAATGCTCTAGCAAAATATAAGTCATATATTATTTAGAAAATTTTAGAAAATATGAGCTTCAAGTCCCATCCCCTTCAAGTTGATGCATACAATAATAATGATAGGCTTGTGTGAACTTGTTGTTCGTCAGTCAGATCCAAAAGTCAATACTTCCGGTAAAATTGTATTGGATAACAAGCAGATTCCGAATTGTAATTGATAACATGTTTTTTTTAAAATATTTTTCTTCAAAGAACTTACATATCAAATACTTTAAGAGTTTTTTCTTCCCATTTGCTAATACCTTCTCACAACCGGTCGCAGTATCCTAGTGATAGCTTCGTAATCGGGAGGCCCTTGTTCGATTCTCGTTCGCCGCGTCAAGCCTGACGTAAACATAGGTACTGTTCCTTCACCAAGCGCCCGGCATTGGAAGTGAAAGTCACGGGTCGTTCGGATGAGACCTTAAAAACCGAGGTCCCGTGTCAAAGTAGGCGATGGCAAGATATAGAACCCTCACTGCTCGTAGGCCCTGAGTGCCGAGTATAGGTCTAAATTTGAGGCCCTTCACAGGTATATGGTGACGTCTCTATATGAATGAAAAATTCTCGAATGGGACGTTAAACAACATACACTCAATCAGTCAATCTCACTTACATGCATAATTAATATTACTATGAACGTAAGAATTATAGCTACTCAGTATAATGCTAAAAGATTCTTAGGTGTCTTGGTGGTTAACAGATTACCAGATCCACCAAATAATTTAAATTATAAGTTTTCCATATGTAAGCTTTCATTAAGTAAAGAAGAAAAACACAAGTTAAGCTTTAATATTTAATGCAACTTCCTGTGTTTTATACAAAGCTGATCTTTTCCATGAGGTTTAAATGGTCTTAAAATGGCCATGGCCACCAGCCCTATGAAAAATCTAGATTACTTTCAGCATCCTTGACCTAATAGCACATCTGAAA